AACTTTATTATAGCTATTCCTACTTCCATCACTTCAGACTGAGTTTTTGCATTTTGGGTACTTCACAAATTGAATTTAATTGCCATTTAAAATATCTTCAAAAGGATTAAATTGTGATTTGGCATTGAAATGAAAAGCTATTCTGGGGAATTCCCTGGTTGCCTAGTGGTTAGGATTCTGGGCTTTCAATGCTGTGGCCCAGGTTCAATCCCTGGTCGGGGAATGAGATACCGCAAGCCTCGCGGCCAAAAAAAAAAATATTTTGTAAACACAGAAATGAAGCAGCTGATATTAGTGAAGCAAATATTTGATGTTAAAGGAATAACAGCAACTTTACATTTTCTTGTAAAAGAACATTTAAGTGCTTCACCTGACTTTAGACAGGAAGATACCAACAAATAGACAAAGCTGCCTTACATTTTGAGATGCAACAAGATTATCTACGAGCAGCCAAACAATGCAAATGAAGGCAGTAGAAACTGACAATGCCTCCAACAAATAAAAAAAAAATTATAGAACATGAGGCTGATTTGATGGATTCATGAATCGTTAAGGCAAATGTTAATTTGTCAGAGACTTCCTATCAAGACTAAACAGAAGCTGCATAATTTCCATGTAATCTGACGAAGAAACAAAGCTGAATTTAGTCAATAGGGAATGCTGAAAAAATCCTGGTGTTCTTCACAGGCCTCAAAATGATATACTAATGCTAAAGGTACTAAAGAGATTGATATCCTGAGAATGGGTTACATAGGGAATAGCATATCACTGAAACACTAGCATAAGCACCTATGGCCACAAGTTGCTGTCATATTAAATTTTAAACTACAAAAGCATTTCCCAAAAACGTTACTGTGTATGTAAAAGAGGAATTATGGCTGAGTTAAAGGAAGGCTAGCTAAATCTGGTTTGAATGTTCAAGAGCCTTTCGTGGTCTGCCAAGGGTATGAGTTTAGTTCTTGATGCATTCTGAGGCTGCATACATGATGCCTGGGATTGTTTTAAAAATAATCTGGGGGCTTCCCTGGTGGCGCAGTGGTTGAGAGTCCGCCTGCTGATGCAGGGGGCACAGGTTCGTGCCCCAGTCCGGGAGGATCCCACATGCCGCGGAGCGGCTGGGCGTGTGAGCCATGGCCGCTGAGCCTGCGCGTCCGGAGCCTGTGCTCCACAACGGGAGAGGCCACAACAGTGAGAGGCCCGCGTACCACAAAAAAAAAAAAAAAAAAAAAAGAATAGGTTGCTGGAAAGGTATCACAACTTGATGTTATTCCTGATGCCGTGTCTAGACAAAATATAACCCCTCAACATTTTAGTCAATAAACAACTGAAGGAGAGGTTGAGGAAAGAAGATGAATCTGACAACTTTCCATTGTCATCTTTTGAAAAGCACTGGCATCAAAGCTTGCAAAATGAATGTCAGAGGCTTGGAAGAAAATTCCAGGCAAATGGTCTTAAAGAAATTCCCAGAATAAAATTACCCTCACTCTTCATAGGAGAGAGAACAATGTCGTGTGGGAAAACACAAACATTCACAATTCTGAATCAAGGAAGCATTTCAAAAGACTCAGACTATGAATGTGAAAAAGCCTTAGGAATACCTTAACCAATTTATTTAACTTGTAATTTCTTTATGTATCTGCAAAAGTGATGTGAGAAAAATCTATATGTTTAAATGAATCTTAAAAAGCACTTTCAGTAAACACAAAATGAAATTATAAGTGATAAAGCACAGTGTAATAATTTAACTGGCAGTATGTGTTCTATATAGTATAAACTGGTGTCTTAATATCAATGGAGTCTTAGAGTTGATGAAACACCATCTTCTTTTCGGCTTTCTATTTATCCTGCCTCTTTAATATTTATCTCCTCTCCTTTCTTGCGTGTTTTTTAAAATTTTGTTTTTGATTGATGAGGAATTTTTAAAATACATTTTTCCCTTCTATTAGTTTCTAATCTTTTACTGTTTATTCTAGAAATAATTAGGACAATTAACTTACTGAAGTCTAAAGCTAATTAAAACATTTACTCCTTAATAAGCCCTCAATAAATGTTAACTGTTATAACAAAAGAAATGAAAATTTTTCTAGCTCATTAGGTAGAAAAGTAACGATACAAAGATGTCTTTAAATACCAAGATAATGTCAAATGTATCAGAGATAGGTTTACAGATTTTCATTAACCCAATAATATACAAATGTCCATACAAAAGAAGGAGAGATGAACGATAAGGAGAGGCAATGGAAAGAAAGGGAGAATAATTTACTTCTCTTCCACTATCAGGTTAGTAAGAATGGCCTTCTCCTTTCTTTTATCACTCTCTTCTTCCATAAGAACAGAGTCCTAAAGAGGAAATATTGGGCCAAACTAGCTGGCTGACACAGCAGACTGATCCAAACCAGGATAGACTGAAAATTAACGCTCTGAAGTAGGATAATATGAAATTCTAAATCAGGCAGTAATCTCAAGACAGCATGGAGGGATTTCCCTGGTGGTGCAGTGGTTAAGAATCCACCTGCCAATGAAGGGGACATGGGTTCGAGCCCTGGTCCGAGAAGATCCCACATGCCGCAGAGCAACTAAGCCCCTGCTGCATGACTACTGAGCCTGCGCTCTAGAGCCTGCGAGCCACAACTACTGAACCCATGCACCACAACTACTGAAGCCCGTGTGCCTATAGCCCGTGCTCCACAACAAGAAAAGCCACCGCAATGAGAAACCTGCGCAACACAAGGAAGAGTAGCCCCCACTCACCGCAACTAGAGAAAGCACGTGCACAGCAAAGACACAACACAGCCAAAAAATAAATTAAAAAAAAAAGACAGCATGGAAAGCACTGATCCCAAAGGCATTAGAGCCTCAAGAAAAATTACAAAATAAGCAGAGTTCTTGGAACTTCCCTGGTGGTCCAGTGGTTAAGAATCTGCCTTCCAATGCAGGGGACACAGATTCAATCCCTGGTTGGGGAACTAAGATCCCATATGCCGCGGGGCAACTAACCCTGTGCGCCACAGAGAGAAGCCCGTGCACCACAAGACCCAGCACAGCCAAAATTAAAAAAAAAAAAAGCAGAGTTCTTAAGCCTCTCCTAACATGCAGTAGATACAAAATAATTTCCCTAAATGTCCAAGTCCTAAAAATAAGTTTAACTCTCCTTCCCTGTCTCCACCAAATCAAAATTCCCATTCATAAACAGAGGCACATTTCTCAACTACTGATTCCTACCAGTAATTATCCAGATTAAGTTTACTTGGGGTGTGTATGTGTATGTGTGTTTCTCAAGAGTTTCATGTTTTGCTTGTTTGTAAGGAGAAAAACCGTGGAAGTGATTAAAAAGCATGGTCATGGGTGAGAAGTGTGAAGAGTACAAAAAACTGAAACTAGTTTGTCTCTCTTTCCTTTTGTTTCTCTTCTTCCTCCCTCATCCATCTCTTTCTCCCTCCCCCAACCCTCCTCTTTTACTCCTATTCCTTTTAAATTTAAGACTGAATTGAAGTACGTTTTGTTTAATCTGTTGTATGCTATTTATTAATTTAACAAATATTTACTAAGTACTCACTATATTCCAGCTATATGCTGGATACAAAGGTAAGTGAGATAGACATGGTCCCTACCCTCACAGAGTTTTCAATCTAGTGTGGAAGGCAGCCTATTAAGTAAACAATTGCAATTTGAAAAAAGCTGCTTACAAAGCAACATGCCGCATGATCCTTTCTGTTAATTGAAAAACTTTTAAGGCATTAAAATAGTATTCAGCAAATAAGACGTTTTCAGTCAGGTGACTAACAATGCTAAATGTCTTAATTTGCTCCTTATATTCCTTCTAATATTCTTAAAAGATTCACTGAATCTTTAGGTTCTTCCCCCATCCAATTTCCATTTCTAAATTTCAGTTTCCTTTTCTCAAAACTTTATTTCATTCACTTTCTTTACAGATGTAATGGCAATTGAATCATTTCATGTGACAAGTATAGGGTATATTTACATAATATTTACCCAAAAAGGTCTGGAAGGAAATAAAATATTGGTATACCTAAGTAAGTTAAGCAAGGGCTAGTAGTTAAGTAAGAGGAAATTTCAAGACGGTTAACAGTTAAGTTGTTTTAAAAAAACCACAACTTTTAACCAAGAAGAAAGGTAAAAATGTTCATTGCAAGACAACATTGAATTTAAATGTATCTTAAGGTGGATTACACTTTTCAACATAAATTTACTTCCTGATGACTTATTATGTGATACTCTTAGGATAACTTATCTCTGTCTTTATAGTACTTTGCATAAAGCAAGTGGCTCAATAAATGTTAGCTACACAACCAACATCTACTATTGAACATTTATGGGTAATTTTTTTTAAATAACCAGAACAAATACCCAATCAAGACAGAAAACCTTCTATAATGAATCATGGGATAAACATAACAAAAGAAAAACAGTGTATTAGATGAAAGTTATTTTCTTCTAGAGACAATGGTCAGACTAGAGCTCTGCCGTGGCAAACTACTGAAGCTTCTTTGAGTGGTTATCACAGCTTACAGATATCAGAGATGAAAGAGAAAAAGATCCATATTGTGGCAAATACTTCTATTTCCCAGCCAATATCCAAATCTTCCCTTCCTCTTCAATAACAAAAGCCCAATTTTGTTCAGGGCAGCCATGTATCCAGCTACATTTCCCTGCTTCCCTGGTAGCCTGAGCGTTGGTTCAGGATAATCTCCTTAAAGGGAGAGGATGCATCCTTCTTTGTCTTTGCCTTGCTGCCTGGAACTCTGCTTTGACAGTTAGAGCTCTGGCAGCTATTCTGGACTACGAGGACCAGGGCCACATCTTAGGAAAAGCAGATCAAAGAACTGGAAAAAGTTTAGGTCCCTGGTGACTTTATGAAGCTACTACACCTATTCTAGGCTGCTTACTTCAAGAATCACTTTACATGAGAAAATAAATATTTTATGTTGAAGCCACCACTAAGTCTGTTTTCATTTTTGCTTTCTTAACTGATCACTTACCTTCAAACAGGTAAAGAATTTTTATCTCCTTTTTACAGATCAGGCAACTGAGATCCAGAGAGGTAAGATGACTTGCACAAGATCAGTCAGTGAAGAGGTGGGTCTGGCTCCTGGCTCAATGCTTTTTCGCAAGAACTGACTCTTAACAGGTTCTAAATATATGTAAAAAAAAAAAAAAAATTAAAAATAAACATAAATTTAGCCTTATTACAGTGGTAATGGCACATGACAGTGTAAACATTTGTCAAATCCTGTGATAAGAAAAGGTGCCAAATTTCTATAAAGTGGAATGAGACTGTATCATATTCCAGTGGCGGAAGGGAAAGAAATATATTAACTAAACAGAATCAAAGACCAGAATAAGCAAAGATACTCATTTATTGTACCCAGGTTTTACCATATTGCTCCTCTTTTAAATAACTAAGAAAAGTTCAAATTAAAAGCTTATTTTCCTCTGCAATGAGACTTCAATATATAGGGTAAGTTTCCCCATTAAATCCTTAACTGGAATTTTTCTTAAAATCTTTATCTGGAATCTTTTTTTAATCTTAGCACCACTTTTAAAAATTAACCTTGGCCCCAGCCTCAGACATAGTGATCAGTAATAAAGCAAAACATCTCAAAATCTTTTTTGAAATCCACTACCTAACTGTAAAATACAAGGCAGTTAGCTCATGTGCAAACTCACCAGTGAACATAATTATTTCTAAACAGTATGTAAAGAAAATAAGGAAATAAAATATCTTCAAGTTTTAAGAACACAGATTTGTTTCTTTTCATGGTACTATATTTAACATAAAATTATCTAAGCAGGAGAGTAATCATATGCATGTAATATGTCGGAAAGGCACATGACTTTTATTAACACAGCATGGTCAAAAATAAACAGCAGGGCTTCCCTGGTGGCGCAGTGGTTGAGAGTCCGCCTGCCGATGCAGGGGACACGGGTTCGTGCCCCGGTCTGGGAAGATCCCACATGCCACGGAGCGGCTGGGCCCGTGAGCCATGGCCGCTGAGCCTGCGCGTCCGGAGCCTGTGCTCCGCAATGGGAGAGGCCACAGCAGTGAGAGGCCCGCGTACCGCAAAAAATATATATATAAAAAAATAAAAATAAACAGCAGATTTAATCCTAAACACCCTCATTTACTGGCAAGCTATTTGACCCTCTGAGTCTCGATTTTCCTATCTATAAAATTGAACTAATACTTCTCCATAAGTTTTTGACTGGATGAAAATAAGAATGAATACAATGTAACTAGCACAGTACTGGCAATAGTAAATGCTCCATAAACAGTAATGCCCTTCCTGTCTTGAAAATTTAATATCTATATATTTAAATTAAATCTGTGCTGTAAACACCCAAAGTCATTGAACTTAAAAAGCAATAAACCAGTTTGACATACAACCTTAAATGTCATTTTTTGAAAGGCCATGTTAGAGCTCTCCTCTGAGCATTGCCATAGCCAAAGTCCTGATGCAGCTGTAGGCCAATGAAAAGAATACATCCAACAAAAGAAGAACACAATCTCTTCCTCCCTGGAATTAAAACAGAGCTTCTGGGCTTCCCTGGTGGCACGGTGGTTAAGAATCCGCCTGCCAGTGCAGGGGACATAGGATCGAGCCCTAGTCCAGGAAGATCCCACATGCCGTGCAGCAACTAAGCCCATGCGCCACAACTACCAAGCCTACGCTCTAGAGCCCACGAGCCACAACTACTGAGCGCAGCATGCCGCAAGTACTGAAGCCCACGCGTCTACAGCCCATGCTCCGCAACAAGAGAAGCCACCGCAATGAGAAGCCCGCGCACCTCAACAAACAGTAGCCCCTGCTCGCCGCAACTAGAGAAAAGCCTGCGAGCAGCAGCGAAGACCCAACGCAGCCAAAATAAACAACTAAATAAATAAAATTTAAAATAAAATATATATGAAAAAAAGAAACTTTCTAAAATTAAAAAATTAAAAAAATAAAACATCAGATGTATGACCAGCTGAGCTGGACTCCAACCCTTCCCTGTATCAAGATATCAGCATAGATCTTAGTGTCTCTGCTGCTCATATCTGTAGAAAAGGACACCAATCAAGAAAACCAGTATATTGCCTTTTTTTCCAACCTTAAAAGACAGTTTCAGTATTCTTTTTTTTAAATTAACCATTCTTTTAATTGAAGTATAGTTAATTTACAATGTTGTGTTACTTGCAGGTATACAGCAAAGTGATTCAGTTATATATATATTTATATTTATTCTTTTTCAGATTCTTTTCCACTATAGGTTATTACAAGATATTGAATATAGTTTCCTATGCTATACAGTAGGTCCTTGTTTATTTTATATATAGTAATGTGTAGTAGTGTGTATATGTTAATATAGTAGTATGTAGTAGTGCGTATATGTTAATCTCAAACTCCTAATTTCTCTCTCCCTCTCCCCTACAGTATCCTTGATGATAAGGCTTCTGAAAAGCAGATACTGTTGCTCATATGTATACTCAATAAACATATGAGCAACAGTAAGAATTTTAAATTTATTAAAATTACAATGTCTTCATTATTTACACATACTGTACTTCAATAATTAAAATACAGTACGTCAAGAAGCTCTGCCAAAAACAACAAAGAAAAAACAAACAAACACAAAACTGCCAAAAATAAAAGCATGCAACTGCTATCTCATTTTCCATTAGGCTGCTTTAAATTTTTTAAATCAGAGAATGCTGGGACCAGAAATGATCTTAGAGGTTGTTCGCTTCAGACCCTACTTTTATAAAAGGTTATAAGGCACAGGGAGGTTAACCGAGTTGGCCAAGATCATTTGGCAGAGCCAGGATTGGAATCTGGCCATTTAATTCTAAGTAAATGTACTTTTTACCATATTGTGGTGGTTTTTAAAATTTTTAGATTGAAAATCATTAAAGTGATCAACACTTTTCCTTGAATGAATTATTTTAAATTGTTAGGAGCCTGTTTTTTAAAGCCTATAAACTAATTGCATGTATTAAACAGAAAAATAACAATTTCCCCTTTCTAGACCTTCAATTATTTAGAAAAAGTTAATCATCTATCATGCCAAATATAGTCAACTCAATTACAATACTTAAAAGATTATTGACTTTAAGAATTATTTTCAGTACATTTTGAAATCCTACACTTGATTCCTCCAGCTACCCAGTACTTAAAAGGGTATTTTGCACACTTCAGTCATCTAAAGGGTCCTTAGAAAGTGGAAAGGAATTTAAATATTATTCCAAATAACACAAAATTAGTTTGGTATGTCTATAGAGGTACATAACATATCCCAAAATAAAAAGACACTGGTATTGATCATGTTACTGATACTCTATATTAGTGCCCATAATCAATAACTAGTGTTTTGAAAGGTACCCTTATTGCCTTAATTGTGCATTTCATTTTAACTGGTATTTACAGAGCACAAACCAACTTGGCAAAAAGCATACTGAAAGGGTATATACAAAATGTGTGGTATGAACAATAAGTACCTCGGGAGATCATAGAAAGGTAAACACAACATGAACTTCACCCTTGCAAAATGGGTAAAACTAAAATAGAAGGAGAACAACATAGGTAACCACAAGGAGACAAATGAATTTTTCACTTATCTTGAAAAGCAGGACCAGATCATGGAGAATTTAAAGACCAAGATGAGAAACAGAAGTTCCTATGGGTTTTTTTGTTTGTTTGTTTTTTTGCTGTATGCGGGCCTCTCACTGTTGTGGCCTCTCCAGTTGCAGAGCACAGGCTCCGGACGCACAGGCTCAGCGGCCATGGCTCACGGGCCCAGCCGCTCTGCGGCATATGGGAGCTTCCCAGACCAGGTCATGAACCCGCGTCCCCTGCATCGGCAGGCGGACTCTCAACCACTGCGCCACAAGGGAAGCCCAGAAGTTCCTATGTTTACCCTAATAACAAGAGGGATATTATTTGAGATTTCATTTCTAATTCTAATTTCCATTTTTTTCTTAAAATTTTGACTCTACTAACGGAGGAAGAATTGTTGAAACATCTGTTGGTTCAACGTTTGTTGAACTTGGTTTTCAAGTTTTGTAAAACAAGAACTAACACTCGGCTTAAATCAGAATGAGTCTCGAGGCAATATCTATGAGGAACAAGATGCAAGAATCTGGATATTGGCTGACACTATGCAACAGAGTTTACCAGGGAAGGTCTTAAGAAACAAGTAATTTAAGTAGGCTGTAAAAGAAGCTATAAGTTAATGGATCCAAATCTATTATACCACTAGTCATACTACTTTTAATGAATTCCTTAAAGCAAATATCTCATCAATTCTTTCAGTTCTTATAAGGAAAGTCCACAATATCCTTCAGACAACATTGAGTATCAGATATAATTGCATTTAACCTCCCTTCTCCCTCCTCCCCCCTTTTTTAACCCAGGTAATATATAGTTTGGTGCTCATAGTCACTCATGAATTTAATAGCCTTAATAAAAGGCTTAGACGGCAGCACCTACTTATTCAATTGTGTAAATGGACATTATCCAATTTAGGAGTTTAGCGGACACTGAGACTTTCAAGAGGTTCTGTCTCCCAGAAATGAGAGTAATGGTTCAATGGTTTATGTCCATATTTTCTTTCTTGACATTATAAAATAACTGCCATCCAAGACCACTGCCAGCACCAACCACAACAATAACCACATTTTACTCAGTCACTATTTAGCAGGTGCAACGAGGAAGTACCATCCTTCTCAAACCCTGTACCATCATCTCACACCTAATGATTTGTCACTTAGGGAAAACAATACCACACCCGGCACGAACTTTCTCCTCCCCTAATGTCAGCGGTTGCCGGCTGAACAGAACCGGCAGAAGAGCAGGATTCACCGGCCTATCTTAGCTCCTGCGCCTCAGCCGGTGGTGAGCATCAGTCTCACCAGGGGGCACCTCCCTCGCCCATCAACCTGCCAAGGCCGGGCTGGAGCCCAGACTGGGACTTGGACCTGCACTCACCCCACCCCCCCCCGCCTGCTCCTCGCCAAGAGCCTGCCACTTTCATCGACCGCAAAGAAAGCATGGGTGCCCGGCAGCGAGTGGAACGGAGAAAGAGACCTCGCGTCTCAAGCTCGAGCTGGAAGCCACTCTCCACCGTGCCCGCCCAACCGTGGAGCTCCCACCATCCTTACTGCCGGGGCAGGGTACGCGAATACCTGAGCTTTATCTCAGGACCCACCCCAGCCTCCCGCGGTGCAGATCCTCACCCACCTCGAGACCGCCGGCCTTACGAAGCCGCGTCTCCACACGCGAAGCTCCGCCTGCTGAACGCTTGCAGCGCACGGACCTACCTCTCCAGCCCCCAGCCGGCAGCTCTGCTCTGTACTTCTACCCACCGCGCGCTCCCGCCTCCTTGCTGCCATGGCGACCGCCCCGGGCCCCAGCAGCCGCTAATTGGTCCTACCCGAAGAGTGGAAGGTGCCGATTGGCAAGGGCGGAGACCAGGCCGCGCCGGAGGGCTTGGAGGCGGGCGGTGTGGAGAGCTAACGCGTAGGAGCCCCGGGGAGGGTGAGCCAGGAGGGACGTGGCGCGCTGCGGAGCGGGCTGAGAAGCCGCGCCCCTTCCTTCTCTGGCTTTCATGGAGAGTCCTGTGGAGCAGGATTTGGGTGGGTGAGGTGCTTACCCGGGACGCGGACAAAAACCCAGGTATCTCCTCCCCTTCGGCCGCCGGTCCGCGCCGGCAGCTCCCGGACTGGTCAGAGACAGGCTGTTAGGCTCGTTTTCGCCCACAGGCCTCGCTTGGGTCTAACACCCCGGGCCTCCTCCATGGCGGGAATCTTCCTCATATTTGTAACCGCACCCACCCCCGTTTTGCTGGGCCCTGGGCCACTATGGCTTGATTGCTTTTATTTCACCTTGTCTCACACCCAGCTGCGGACATCTGTCTTTTCTTCACACCCTTCTCATGGAACTGAGACATCTACTCCACAACCCTCATTTTAAAGATAGGAAAACTCAGCTTCAAAGATATTAGTGGTCGAGGGTTAGAGAAGCTGTTGGAGCCTCAAGGCTGGTTTCAAAACTTAAGTCTGCCAAATAATGGCATCTTTCTCCGAGCCTTAGTTTTCTCCCTTGTGAAAAATAGTATATACCTCAGAGTTGTTAGTGAAGATTAGATAAGATTCCAGAAAACCAGTATAGAACCTGTTGCATATATGTTAGTAATGGTAGCTTCTTTTTTATCAGGAAGTAATAGAGAATAGTAGCTAAGTCACAAATTTGGAGCCAGACTGCCTATGTCAAACCAATTCCTTGTCTCGCAGCGTTACTTAAGTGCTCTGTGCCTCACTTTCTTTGTCTGTAAAATGAGAATAATAGTACCCTCCTCCTTACAGCATAAGTTAATAGAAAAGTGACAGGCATATAGTAAGTGCTCAGTAAATGTTAGCCCTTCTCACTTTAGTGGCTGAGCTACGGCTATAATTCAGGTCTCTGGATTCCAAGACCAGCAGTCTTTACTCTTACACACCTCTCATCTGTATACTTACAACAGTGCCTGGAGGTTAAGCTGTTTTGAAGGTTAAGGAGGAAACACTTGTCCATTTTCTTAAAATCTCAAACTATCTCCCTTATCATCATGAAAGTCCTAGAATGTTATGACTCTGCCTTCACTGAGGGTTTAATAGCAGAGACAAATGTGAGGAAAATAATCATATTCGGTTCTGATGGAGAGATTGAAAAGTGAAAACACTAGAGAAAGAAAGTATATTCAAGAGGTTATGGTATAGGAGGACTAAATTTCTATTTGAAAAACATGCGAAATACTAATACGGGGGTATTGGTTATGTACCATTAGTAAGCAATGTTACTGTTAGGTCAGGAGACAATACCATATCCCATCACTGTGGAAAACACTAAACTGTAAATACATCAAAGGCAGGAGCTATCTTCCACATTTTTATTACCCACTATCTACCAAAGGGCCAAGCACACTGTGCCTGATCTAGGCCCTAAAAATTGGGATAAACCCTTTAAGGGGAGACCCTGAAAGATCTTGTAATAATCTATCTAGATTATTTATCTAGATAAATATTATTTATTACTATTATCTAGTAATCCAGTGGAGAAGAAGAATGGAAAATGAGAAATTGGATTAGTCCAACAACACAATGAAAAGAAAAAAATAACACTAGCTTGGTGGCTGAGATGCTGGCAATATTCTCAGCAATATTCTGGGGTGAAAGAAGAAGAAAACAAGAAAGACAGGAAAACAAAGATGAAACAGCAAGACTCAGGATTAGGAGAGATCACTGAGGAAGGTATTTCAGAATGTCATGTGCCTGTAAAGCAGGCAACAGCATCTCTTATACTAGTAAAGACTATCTTGTGGTAGAGAAAAATAGGAATGTTGATAGTGAGCCCTGGAACTATGAGCTCATGTGAGGGACTTATAAGGAAATGTTATTACTTAAGAGGTAAAACCCCAAACTTGGAGAGGGAAAAAACAAGACTTTGGAGCCAGACCTGGGTCCCAGCCCTGCCTGGATTAAAAACTCAGTTGTCTTTATTAGTAGAGTATCTTCTGGCAAGTTACTTAACCTCTCTCCATAGCATAGCTTCCTCACCTATAACATGGAGGCAATAATAGTTCCCACCTCATAGACTTGTGAGGATTGAATGTGTTTATATTTGTAAAGCAGAGCAGTGCCTGGCACATAGTAAGTGCTATATTAATGTCTGATACAATATTAGTCTCAGTTTCTCCATCTGTAACCTGGGAGCATAATATTGAACTTACAGTAAGGGTTCAAAGGATGTATGTAAACTCTTAGAGAAGAGATGCTCAATAAATATTATTTCTCTGCCCCCTCCACCCCTGCAAGCCCCCAGCCTGTTACCTCTGAACTCCTCTCTGATTAACACTGCCACTGCCATCAAGGGGCTATTGCTCAACCTGGTCTAAGCAAGGATAAAATATCTTTGCTTGATTTTTCTTGGCTCAGAGGAAAAGCTCAAAATGAGTTTACTGGAGGCCAGGAGAAAATAAAAGGGAAACAACTCCAGAGAACCAGCTGATGTGAAGCCTGCCCCATACCTTGGTCTTCCAGGAAAAAAAAAAAAAAGGTGTCAGGGAGATTCTGGCTTTTTAACACTTCAATTTTCTCCTTCTCACTTCTAGGATCCCACAGGACATCACTTGGCCAAGTTCTTCACTGTGTTCAGAATGGGGGAGAGGGAGGCAGGAGTACTTACAAGAGACAGTAAGTAATCAGAAAGAGGAAAATCACAGTACACTGTACATGGGCACCAAGATGTAACAGTTTTATTACGATCTAGGTCAGTGGTCAGCAAACTAGGCCCTTGGGCCAAATCACCCAACTGCCTGTTTTTGTAAATAGTTTTATTGGAACACAGCCATTCTCAACAGCCACGCTCATTTGCCTATGTATTGTCTCTGATTGCTTTTGAATTACAAGGGCAAGGTTGAGTGGTTGTAATGGAGAATCTATGGCCCTCAAAGCCAAATATATTTACTACCTGACTCTTTACAAAAAAAAAATTGCTAACCTTTGATCTTGATAATTCACCCAGAATCATTTGTCAATATCCCGACCGCAAAAATGTTCACCTTCGTCAAATCCCCTAATCCATTGCTTCTCAAACTTTAATGTGCATACAGATTACCTGGGGGGTCTTATTAAAATGCAGATTCTGATTCAGTAGATCTACAATGAGGCCTGAGATTCTGCATTTCTAACAAACACTAGGGTGATACCCTAGTGTTGCAATACTAGCAGTACTAGCAATAGTCCCTAGATCAAACTTCATCCCATCAGCCTGCATTTCTAACAAACACTAGAGTGATACCCTAGTGTTGCAATACTAGCAATACTAGCAATACTAGCAGTATTGCTAGTTCCTAGATCAAACTTCATCACATCAGCCTTTTTTTTCTTTATTTTATTGAGATATAATTGACATATATCATTTATATTAGTTTCAAGTATACAACATAATGTTTCAATATTACATATTCAATATGTATATATTGCAAAATGATCACCACAATATGTCTAGTTAATGTCTATCACCACACATAGATACAATTGTTTTTTCTTGTGCTGAGACTTAAGATTTACTCTCTTTAGCAACTTTCAAATGTGAAATACAGTATTTCACACTACATAAAGGACCAGCTGTATAGCACAGGGAACTCTACTCAATACTCTGTAAGGACCTATATGGGAAAAGAATCTAAAAAAGATGGATATATGTATATGTATAACTGATTCACTTTGCTGTACACGTAAAACTAACACAACATTGTAAATCAACTATACTCCAATAAAAATTAAAGTAAAAACCTAATTAAACTTAAAAGCTTTTGCACAGCAAAGGAAACCATAAGACAACCATTAGAATAGGAGAAAATATTTGCAAGCAAAGCAACCTACAAGGGATGAATCTCCAAAATATACAAACATCACATGCAGCTCAATATCAAAAAAACAAACAACCCAATCAAAAAAATGGGCAGAAGATCTCAATAGACGTTTCTCCAAAGAAAACATACAAATGGTTAAAAAGCACGTGAAAAGATGCTTCAACATCACAAGTTATTAGAGAAATGCAAATCAGAACTACAATGAGGTATCACTCACACTGGTCAGAATGGCCACCATCAAAAAAATCTACAAATGATAAATGCTGGAGAGGGTGTGGAGAAAAGGGAACCCTCCTACACTGCTGGTGGGAATGTAAACCAGTATAACCACTATGGAGAATAGTATGGAGGTTCCTTAAAAAACTAAAAGTAGAGCTACCATATGATCCAGCAATCCCACTCCTTGGCATATATCCAGAGAAAACCATAATTCGAAAAGATACATGCACCCCAGTGTTCATTGCAGCACTATTTACAATAGCCAGGACATGGAAGCAACCTAAATGTCCGTCAACAGAGGAATGGATAAAGAAGATGTGGTACATATATACAATGGAATGTTACTCAGCCATAAAAAAGAACGAAATAATGCCACTTGCAGCAATATGGATGGACCTAGAGATTGTCATACTAAGTGAAGTAAGTCAGATGGAGAAAGACAAACATCATATGATATCACTTATATGTGGAATCTAAAAAAAGGGTACAAATGAACTTATCTACAAAACAGAAATAGAGTTACAGGTGTAGAAAATAAACTTACGGTTACCAGGGTATAAGGGGGGGAAGGGATAAATTGGAAGATTGGGATTGACATAAACACACTACTATATATAAAATAGATAACTAATAAGAACCTACTGTATAGCACAGGGAACTCTACTCAATACTCTGTAATGGCCTACATGGGAAGAAATCTAAAAAAGACTGGATACATGTATATGTATAACAGATTCACTTTGCTGTACATGTGAAACTAACACAACATTGTAAATCAACTATACCACAATTTAAAAATTGTTTTAATTAAATTAAAATATAATAAACCATATAGTCACCATGCTGTACTTTACATCCCTAGGATCATTTATTTTATAATTGGAAGTTTGTACCTTTTGACAACCTTCACCCATTTCACCCACTGTCCACCCACTGCCTCTGGCAACCACCAATCTGTTCTCTGTATCTATGAGTTCATGTTTTTATTTTTGCTTTTTAGATTCCATATATAGTGAGATCACATGGTATTTGTCTTTCTCTGACTTATTTCACTTAGCATAATGCCATCAGCATTCATCCGTGTTGTCACAAATGGCAGGACTTTCTTCTTTTTCTAATGGCTAAATAATATTCATATATATATATATATGCGCCAAGAGTGCAAAGTCTTTCAAGGAGAGAGACAGGTCAGCAGCAAAGAATGCTGCTGAGCAGTTGAATAAGATGAGGACAGAAAAGTGTCCACTCAAAGGAGAGCTTAATACTGTAAAAGCCATCTCAGAGGAGTGGTGGAGATTCCATCTTGCATATGCATATATATATATATATATAATTATATATATATTATGAAAATGTGATATAGATATATATCACATTTTCATTATCCATTCATTCACTGATGGACACTTAGGTTGCTTCTATGTCATGGTTATTGTAAATAATGCTGCAGTGAACACAGGGATGCAGGTATCTTTTCAAGTTAGGATTTTCATTTCCTTTGGATAAATATCCAGCAGTGGAATTGCTGGATCATATGGTAATTCTATTTTTAATTTTTTGAGGAAACTCCATACCGTGTTCCATAGTGGCTGTATGAACTTACATTCCCACCAACGGTGCACTAGGGTTCCCTTTTTTCCACATCCATATCAACACATTTCTTTTTTATTTTTTATTGAAGTACAGTTGATTTACAATGTTGCGTTGATTTCTGCTGTACAGCAAAGTGATTCAGTTACCCATACATATACATTCTTTTATGTATATATATATATCCTTTTCCATTATGGTTTATCATAGGATACTGAACCAACACTTATTTCTTGTCTTTTTGGTAACAGCCATTCTCACAGGTGTGAGGTGATATCTCATTATGGTTTTGATTTGCATTTCCCTGAAGATTAGTGATGTAGAGCACCTTTTCATGTACCTGTTGGCCATTTGAATATCTTCTTTGGAAAAATGTTTATTCCAGTCCTTTGCCCATTTTTAAATTGGATTATTTGGTTTTTTGTTATTGAGTTGTATGAGTTCTTTTTATTTTTGGATATTAACCCCTTATCAGATATAGGATTGGCAGATATTTTCCCCCATTCCATAGGTTGCCTTTTCATTTTGTTGATGTTCTACTTTGCAGTGCAAAAGCTTTTTAATTTGATGTAGTCCCTCTTGTTTATTTTTGCTTTTATTACCTTTGCTTTTGGTGTCAAATCCAAAAAAATCATCAACAAGATTGATGTTCAGGAACTTACCACCTATGTTGAAGTTCTTCTAGGAGTTTTATGGTTTCAGGTCTTATATTCATGTCTTTAATTCATTTTGAGTTAAATCCACAAACCACCATGATTCTGTAACCATTTGCTCTTTTTTCCCTCTGTAACAACAAAAGGCAATCCCTTTACCTGTACTCTGAATCCTGTTCCCCTCCCTCAGTTCTCAAGGGCTTCATTTCTCACTTGGTTATTCCCTTTCTTTCTTTTTTCATTAATCTTCCGTACCTGTTGAATCACACTGTAGGCATACAAACATGCTCTAGGAGTGTTTTTCATCTTTAGAAATTCCTTCCTTATGGATATATAAAAAGATATGATAGGGACGTCCCTGGCAGTCCTTGCCTTCCAACGCAGGCGGTGTGGGTTCGATCCCTGGTCAGGGAGCTAAGATCCCATATGCCTCACGGCCAAAACACCAAAACATAAAACAGAAGCAATATTGCAACAAATTCAATAAAGACTTTAAAAATAGTCCACATAAAAAATATTATATATGATAAAGCAAGCATAGTAAAATGTTAATGATAGAACTTAGTGAGATTTACTGTAATATTCTTTCAACTTCCGGCATGTTTAAAACTTTGATAGTAAAATATTTGAAATAAAATCCTTCCCTTGACCCCAAATCATCCTCCATCTTGTTTCTCTGCTTATTGTTTATTCAAATTCCTTTAAAAATTTCCTTTCTCTGCTTGCTCCCCTTCCTTTACTCTCAGCTTGTGCCCATCTGGCTTCCATCTCCACCACTCCTCTGAGATGGCTCTTACAGTATTAAGCTCTCCTTTGAGTGGACACTTGTCTGTCCTCATCGTATTCAACTGCTCAGCAACATTCTTTGCTGCTGACCTGCCTCTCTCCTTGAAACACTCTGCACTCTTGGCATCTGACACCACTCACTTCTAGTTTTCCTTCTACCTTTCTAGGTACTCCTTTTTTGGTCTCCTTTGCCAGCTTCTTCTCCATTACCCAACTTCTTAAAGTTGGAATGTCCCAAGGCTTGGTTCTGGGACCACTTCTCTGTCTACAGCCAATTTTTCCACCCAGGCTCTATTGGCATTTTATGTTGGACACTTCTTCACTGAGTAGAATTTCCCATGTATTTCAGGATGTTTTACAATCCTAGACCCTACCCACTAAATGCCAGTAGTGTCCCCCTTGTCCCCTTAGTCAGTGTGACGACCCAAATTGCCTCCAAACAGTCCCTAGAGAAGTGATATTTCTCAGGGTTAAAAACCATTTTGTCTCTTAGTAGGTGATGCCAGCCGATCTGTGACCTTAAATATCATATATATGCTAATTCTCAAGTATCTCAGGCCCAAACATC